TCGTCTCTGTGTGCCCTGCAATTGGCTGGCAACCGGTTCAGGGTGTCCCCCGCCTACTGCCCGAAGACAGCTGGGATAGGCTCCAGCGCCCCATGTGAGGATAAAGCGGTTCAGAAAATGGATGGATGGATGGATGCATTGCCACATACAACTCTTCTTGCCACTGTTCAAGTCGAAGGGTGCATAGAATCGGCCTGTCCATCAAATCCAGGTTTGAAGTCAGCTGTTTGACCTGGGAATGGACTATTACAACAGCGTACCAACAGTTTGGACTAGCAACGGACAGTTTGAGTTTGTACTATTTCTCCTGCCGAAAACTTGTTTGCTAATCAATCCAACCGAGTGCAATGTGGAGCATGTGTCAAATTGGGGTGGGTGAGGTGATTTTGAGCTTTTTGCTGACAGTGTGGTGCTGATGCACTGCTCTGGACGGTGGGGGTGGGGTGGGTGGGGGAGCAGATTGAGTCACTCCTGGCATAGGGGACACTCACGCAGCGTCGGGTCTGGCAGCAGTCAGCACAAACCCGACCCAATTAAGTCCCCCCCCCTCCTCTGCATCGCCACCGTCCCCCCCTCCCCGACTTATCTTAATCACGACGACGGATCAATAAGTTCTCAAGTGCTAATAAGCGCTGGCACATTTTGTGATATGTGAGCCGCTCCATCATTTCAACCGGCTGCAGATTTATGGGAAATCCATTGTTAGGTCCAAAAGTATGAGGTAATGTAGCACTTAGTAAATGAAGTCAAAGCCAAAAGGATGCAGGGTGATTTGCATTTCATTTACAAAAGGACACGTCTAATCATTTGGAGCTCCATCTCCCTGAAAAGCAGCCGACGTGCTCTAATGACGACTCGCTTCTTTTATAGACGCAGACCGGAGTCATCCCACGAGGACCACAGGGGACTCCACGTGAGCGATTAAAGTCATGTTAGGGGAGGCATTATCGGTCAAGTCATAAAATAATTGAATTTACCGATTGCTCGCCTGGTCATCTCTCTGGCTGACATAATTGTTCATTAGCCATTACGGGCTGCCGTCTCTCATCTATATCTCGGTACGAGGACTCGCCTGACAACGGTGCACTACATCAGAGTGGATGATAATGAGGATTCTGTACGTATGCATGTGTGTACAAGTTGCGTCCGAAAGGTTCACGAAAGATACATTCCGATGAATTCAAACTCTTCTAAAAAGCCAGCCACGGGTAGCTTGGTTATAAACTTGATTTCAAGCATTCACACATGGGACGGACTTCACTCCTATTGGCGGCTTATTGCTTTCGTGTGCGGCGTAACAGCTAAATGCTGCTTCACCGTGTTTGCTTTGACCTCTGGGCTCTGAGCTGATTCTGCAGACTACTTTGTTTGACCTAAACCATTCTGTTATTTAGAGACTAGTAGCCGAACTTAAAGGTTTCTTGTAAAGCTAATACATGAGTAAATCTCATTGTTTTTTTTTTTTAATGCAATTAAAAAAATAGATCATTCTGCTTACGTCACACTCATGTTGAGTGACACACTGTCAGAGATGAGTGAGAGACCCGACCGGTGTGCTGAATGTTTTGCCCTGTTCATACGCAGAATACAACATTCACACTCACTCAGACACCATTCATTCTTAGAAGTGATATGAGGAGATCCAATCAGATTCGAGGGTCTGCCATTACAAATTATTTCATTCAACTTAAGCATTGAGGCATCCATAGAAGCATCATTTTCCATTCCGACCTGCTCTTTACTTTTTTTTTTTTTTTTTTTTTTGGTGACTTAAGTCATCAGCTCTCTACACGTCAAGGTGAGTTGTCTTTTGAGAAATACCACAGATCAGGTTAAGAGAGCCACGGGGGGAAGAAAGTTAAATAAAAAGTCCTTTAAAAAAAAACGGTAAAAACAAACACGCTCCGCTGTTGAAAATAAAAGCACACACTGAAATCCATTCTGATGACAGTTGGAAGAATGCAGGAGGGGACTTGAGCCCCATGTTTGCCATATCTTTTAAGCGTGATTATTTACTTAAAACAACAAACCAAAGCCCCAAGTCTGGCAGGGTTGGACGTCGAGGCCTTTGATTGAGCCCTGGACTTGAATTCTTCGCTAATAAATTGTTCCACGCCTTTGTCTGCGGCATTAGCGCCAGTGGTCTCCGTTTTTCTTGCCCTAATCTCAAGAATGCAGCAGCCTCTTGAGAAGCTTGCGGGTTTCCTTCACTCCGGTGCGTCGCGTCTCGGCTTTTGTTTTCTTAGGACGGCTGCACAGATTGACAGGCCTCACCGTTAGCCGTCTTGCTTTTCACCGATTGCGGCTGAGCACATCAGTGTCAGTCAAGGCTGCAAAGCATTAAAAAAAAAAAAAAAAAAAAAGGCGACGCAAAACCCCCCGCGTCACAAAATATTGAGCAAACTTTTCATCGAGACCTTTTTGGTAAGGGTGGGGCTACCGCTGCTGGGGATGTTGTTTGTGTGTATGATTTTTTTTTTCCAATGTGAAGGTGACCTGGGAGGGATCCCTGAGCTCACAGCACAGGTATGAGCAGCTTAGCTTTGTTCTGACGACAGCTGGCTGGGTGAGTCACATTGACTAGCCTCCTTTGGTCAGGTTCCAACTATGCACTGACAACTGCCTGACAATAAAATAATCATTAGTAGGGATCGAGACACGGCACGGAGGTTTTCAAAGTACTGTATTTAGTTTTACAAACCCCAAAAAATACATGCAATGGGGTAAATAGCTGCTTGATGTTCCGCTAAATTTGTAAGTTTGCTCACTTAGAAATTGTCTCCGATATATAGCCTATGGTTGTTTATGAATTTTTATGACAATATGTTGAACCATCGTACCGTGAGCCAGACGTTCTGACCGAACGCGCCCACAATGCAACCGCCGTAGTTATGACGGACATATTTATGCTATAAGTGAACAAATGTAGAGTAAGAGTGACAAATGATTTCCCCACTATACAGTTGGGGATGTTTTATTTTGATGTTTGAGCATACTGCTTGATTTTCTAACAGTTTAGCCATAATATTCATGACAAAAGAATGAATTGGTAGTGGTTGCTCAAGCAGTGTCACAGTTTTAACGTCGTAAACGTGACATATTTGTTTTATTTTGAAAGCGCTCTGAAGTCTCTTTCGGCTCAGCGAACCAGGAGCGGTGAAGGGGACAATTTGTAGTTACCTAGCAACTGCTCCAAACTCTGCGCTGATAGGATGGCAACGCGGAAGGTTTGGCTTTCACTTCGTCCTAACTTTTGTGTAAAATAAACAAAAGCGTGTCCCCGTTTTAAAAAGTGGTTGAAACAGCGGTGCGTTTATGAGCTTGGGTACACACACATTTTGACTCATAAGTAGCCAGACACTTATTGTTTTGCTTGTTTGTTTAGAAAGTAGTGACACCGTCTTGAGTGCTAAAAAATACGAGCCCTTTACGGTAGAAAGCAAGTATTTATAGTTATTAATCTATTAAATGTTCCTCTTTAAAACCACATGTTAGCTTTTCTGAAGTTAAAACCTTTTCTGTGCGCCCCAATGCGTTATTGTCATTTCATGAATACAATGCTAATTAGTGTGGGTAATATGTGACAACAGACTCGTTGCCGCCTTTTTCGTGAGCACATTTTCGTGTGATCACGTCGCGCAGGTCTGTTTTGTCCTCTCAGGGTAAAAAAAATAGGTTAAAAAAAACACGTTTCCGCCTTTACTTTTATACACGCTGTACAGTGGAATCTCCTCCGTCGCCTCGTTTTCCATTCGATTTTGACCGCACAAAGTGTTGATAGCAAGGCGGCACATTTTATATCGACCTCGCACGCAGGAGAGCCGTCCACCGGGATAAGCTTGCCGTCCATTGCCGGTGATGGTGTGGGAATTTCCGGTGGGCAAAAAAAAAAAAAAAAAAAGGCAGAGGGGCAGCGTTTCAGAAATGGCATTTACGGCACACGTAGTCGTTCCCTATGCTTATATCGACTCAAAATGCTTCTCTATGTTCTTGAGGAATTTTGCCTGCTTTTTGAAACTTTAAAATCGAATAACTTCCATCATTCAAACCACTTTCTCCATTCCAGCTCTTTTTCCAGAGACATTAGTCCTGCTGGGATTTTTTTTTTTTTTTTTTTTTTTTTTTTTGTGGTCACATCCCTAATACGCTTGTTAAGTATTTAAACTGGACCAGCGTTGTCAGACAGACCTCTTATAGGCCATGCCAGTGAAATAAATATCATTTTACTGTCATAAACATGAAAATTGGTGTTATTTATAACATGAACATGCACCAATTTCTGAATGAGAATTGTAGTTAGCATGTCTGCCTCACAATTCTGAGCATCAAGGGTTAAGTAAAGACACTAAATTGTCCATAAGTGTGAATGTGAGAATGGTTAGTTTAATAAAACAATAAATAATGATAAGCAGTGTTGAAACTGATGTCTAAATGTGAGGTCGAAAATATTTCCCTACTTGACAGAATTCCAAAGCAAGCAGTAGGTTGGTGATCACCTCAGTGGCCCTTCAGGATCACATCACCAGGAATTTTCTTGAACCTGATTTCTTGCTTTCGGACCCGCTGCTGACATTCAAAAGCAAAGGACACTCAAAGGAGAGAGCGATCCGAAGCGATCTTCCTCTGAGCCTCGGAGAAGAGCGAGAATATGTACTTGATCCCGTGCCGCTGCCTCCGACGTTAGGTGGGTTGATAGCTAGCGCTACGGTGTTCATCTTGTCTTTAAATATTATTATTATTTTTTTAATGTGCTTCTTTTGTTCAGACACATGCTTTTTTTCCCAGTAAAGACAAGAAATGAAACTATCAGCGATGTATAGATTTCTCTGAACTGGAATAAAAATATTCTGAACATAATAAACCTAAGACCTTTCAAATCGCTAGCTAGCTTGGAGACAATTGGAGGTGTCCGGTAATTTCTGTTGTGTTTTCATTTTATTTTTCGCCAGCTCAGAGGATGGGCTTAGTGGCGTTGCCCCCAGAGAGGCTGAGCGAAGATGAGTGGACTCTAGTGAAAGCCAGATCGGTCCAGCAACGGGAATCCGAGCAGCCTTGCGCAATATGCAGGGAGGCCTTCTGCCTTAAACCTCAGGTAGTAACTGCATTGCCTGTCTGAATGCTTTGCAGAAGCATTGTTTTTTCTCTTTTATTTTTTATAACTGGGGTCTTCTCCACTCGTGTCCTACTGTAGTATCTGTGAATGCTTATGTATGGCTTTCAATGGTAAGGCCTGGCCCGGTGGGAGACGTAACTAATAAGCCAATTAGATGAGCTTCTGTCGGTTTTTTGGGTGGGGGGGATATCTTTTGAAACAACTGCTGTCAAAAACTAACATTCATTTCACGTCCATTATGAATTGCTTCTAAAAAAAAAAAAATCTTACTTTCTAAAAGAAAAAAAATGTACAAGATCAATGTTGAATGTGTCAAACTGTCGCTTGCATTCTCCGCTCTAATGGCTTGTGGAGCTGCTGGAAATTGTCCACAGCAGGGGGACCCTCTCTCCGGTGACGGAGTGTGCTGTGACTAGGCCCAAAACAATGGGAAATCAATCATCCTGTGTGCCAATTCGCATTGCCTAAAAGAGTATAAAAGAACCTCTTGCAGGTAGTCCAGGTTCCAGCCGGCACATGGAGGCTCCTACTGATTCCCTCTGTCCCCTTGGCAAATAACACTTTCACATATGTGCCTGAATACACATGCCTTTAAGATGGAAACACATACACACAAACACCGGGCATGTATATTGCATATAAAAGGTCGACAGACCCCTCTTCGAATTCCAGGTTTTCTTGGGTAAACAGCAGTTAGTCACAAATGGTCTCACGGTGAGACCGTTGTCAACAGAAATGTCATTTAAAACTAGCTCCCTTGACAAGATAAACCCGAAAAGTCGGCTAACTAAGGAACAAAACAGCAGGCAATGAAATCATAACTTTCTTGGCTCATGTAAAAATCTGGAGTCTCAGAATGATCCCGCTAACAAATGAAAAACAAGCAATCAAGGCATAACTGATCCTAATTAAAATGTAAAGTTAACTGGCTAACCAGGGGTAAAAAAAATTATGTTAAATTAAGTTTTACTTGATCCGGCTAGCAAACAAATCCCCAACGGATGAAGCAGAACTTCCCTGACCTAAGTAACGCTCTGGAGTTTTAGCATGATCTTGCTAAGGATTGAACAAACACCAAATGATTACTTTCTTGGCTGAGGTAAAAATTTGGAATCTTCCTGCGATACTGCAAAGTAATCAACAAATGATAATTTCTTTGGTTGTTGTAAGACCTGGAAATTTTCTGAATTTCCTTGAGCAAGGTCAAAATTAGGAATACGCCGATCGATCCGTGGCCGATTATCAGTTAATATTCGTGAAAAAGTGCACGATCGATTCATCCGATCAAAGCCTCTCAGGGCAGATTGATCACCTGATGTAGATAATTGTTCTCGTAAGGGAGGGACATATTAGTTGTTTCTATTTGAAGAAAATACGAACAGGAATGCTACCGTCTCTCTATTAATTTTTTACCAGCAATGCACGACGCACCGCCATGGCAATAAATAATTTTTTAAAAAATCTTTACAATTTTGCATTTTTTCCAGTAACTCACAAGGTTTTGAAATTAGTTAGATGGGTCTCATTTTTAAAATCACAAAATCTGGCATTGGAACAGGGGTGTGTTGACTTATTAAACCCACCGTATCCGTACGTATGTGTGATGTTAGTATGACCGTCCACTTTGTGTTTTTTTTCCCTCCTTTAGGTGTTGCTGTCGTGCTCACACGTCTTCCACAAAGCCTGTCTGCAGGCCTTCGAGAGGTTCTCCGGCCGCAAGTGCTGCCCCATGTGCCGCCGGGAGCCGTACGAAACACGAGTCATCCACGACGCCGCGCGCCTCTTCCGAAACCACTGCGCTGTTCGGTGAATAATTTGACCTAGCCCAGGGGTGTCAAACTTGATTTATGTCGCAGGCCACTTTGGAGTTACGGCTTCCCTTGGAGGGCCTGTGCAAAATCTCAACGTTATTTATTATCCATGACAATTTGACATTTCGGTACAGATTTCAGCAAGAATCATGATAGTTGACACACATGGTTTGTTCCCGCGGGCCGCATAAAATGACGTGGGGGGCCGGATCTGGCCCCCGGGCCCTGACTTAGACACCTGTGACCTCGCCTAACGTATAATTTTTTTTCATAAACGTTTGATTTTATTTTTAAAGTACTTCCTTGTTTTGTACATGCACATTTTGTCTTTTCTTTGAAATTAATTGCAATATTTTAAATGTATTTTTTCTTTAAAAAAAATATTTATACTTTTTTTTTTTTAAGTGCAAAGTTTGCTGAATGTTTTTCTCCTGAATTCTTTTTTCCCCCATATTTTGAAATGTATTATGCTTACTGTACATCCATCAGCAGACTGAAACCAAATCGTATGAAAACCAAAGCATTATCTCCCATCCGGATTAATATTAATCCAATTAATCCATTCCACCCAACAATGTTAAAAAAAAATACTGGGTATTTTATAGAGTAACCAGAGTTTGACATCCAGAAAGCAAATAAATATACATTCCAAATAAAATTGCGAAACAAACATGAATCCTTTACCGAAAACTTAGGATGGCGTACAGATGGATAGTGCATAATTGTTAGTTCCAAAGGGTAATCTGCCTTTTTTTTTTTTTTTTTTTTTTTTTTGTAACGAGAGTGTCTTGAATTCTGTGCTGTTAATCATCTTTTTCAAAGAAACCTTCATTTGGAACTTTTCTTTGGTGGCTTATTGAACTTCGACACTCAATAAATACGCAGAAAAAAAACTTTAGAATACATCACTTGGGGAGTCTACATGTCCTAATTATTGGTGATGTCACTTTACCCATTTAGAATTCAAGCTTTCTGGCGAGGCTACGTGGCCCGGAAGTGGTACGGGAATATTCGGAGGACCGTCTGCCCGAAAGACAAGCGGCTCCGGCGCAAATTCCTCGAAGCCAAGGTGAGTTTGGCTTCGATCGGGGCATGACATCATTGCAATCAGCCTTCTTATGGGTCGCATCCATTAGTCTGAACTAAGTCTCCTCACGGAACTTTATTTCACCTTAATGGGTCAAATAAAGACAAATGTATCTCATACTTTGTGTTGAAGGCAGCCTCTGACCCAAAGTCTACATACACGCACGCGCACACAAACGCATGCACACGCACCAACGTTCACCTGCGTTCACCCTCTCGAGCCCCTTTGATGCTTTGTGAGCGCCTCCGTGTTTGTTCGCTAATACGGAGAGAGTTTTTGTATTATCGTCAAACAGTCTGAACATTCCAGACTCCACACAAAAGCACAATGCCTCTCTCGCACTTGCTTGGGTCTGCTACTCCTTCATCGATTAAGGTGTGCGTCGTGTGTGTTGTGCGGCTCAAGAGGTGACTGTCGTGTTTGGATACCTGGCCCAGGGAGCCGCGTGTCACATTCTGACCCGTGTTTGTTTGCGTGTTGAATGATGGCGTCGCTTTCAAGGTGCCTCGTAGCAACAAGGGAACATTGCCACCTAGTGAACTCGACCCTGGCCATAGAGGAGCGTAATTCTAAACACCTTTAGCTTTCCAAATAAATCTGAAACGAGCAAAATACAAACAAGTGAACTGCTTACGTCTGTTTTTTTTTCATAGAACGTGAAAAGTTGAAGTGATAAAGCCCCAGATTTGTTTGCGTTATTGTTGTCATCTGATTTAGGACTGATGTTTACGCCACACTAATTTGACAGAATTTTTGAGAAGTTGTCATTGCTTCAATGACTGCAAGTCAAAGTGTTGAACAAGATAACAACTCCAATTGAAGTCGATAAACTCTTGACCATTAATTCTCGGTTGTTTGAAAAACATACATGGGAAGAGGACCTGGATAAATCAAATCAAGCGTTGGGTTCAGCAACAGGTGGAATTTTTTTCTGCAACGTCATTACTGTAAGTTATAATGCGCGGTCAAATCCATATAAGCTTTTATGGGTCCGAAAAATGAAAATACCTCAAAAACCCGATTTGCTTGGAAAAAAGAAAGTAAAGGGATTTTTTAATTCAGCCCCAAAAATACATTTGGGGATCCATAAAAGCCATCTGTGATTCAAATTTGCTGTTGACCAATGTTGTTCATCGTTAGTCACATTTTTTTGTGTGTGTGCGTGGGAGGGGTGGGGGGAGCATATCAGTCAGGCCAACTTTCCAGGCATGGTTTGGTCGCATAATCAGCAAAGTGCTTTGCACTTGGAAGTGGCAGACGAAGTGCGAGTGACAGGTGGACGAGGGCCCACCATCGCCCTCCATCACCACCACCGCCGGCGCAGCGCATCAAACGCAGACATTTACTGAGACAATTAAATCGGCCGTGACACATTAGGTCCCGCCCCACCAACTTTCCGTTGCCCGTCAGTCACTCATGTTGAACAACTGGTCGTGTGGGTGGTCATGAGATTCTCATATCTTTTGTCACGTTCGGGATGATCTTCAAGAACATGCCACTGACAGGTCTGATCGTCTCCCATTTTGAAGGCCGGGTGGGTTATTGGTGGTGGGTGTGGGGGTGGGGGGGGTTGTTTGCTTAGCTGACTGTAATTCAAACAGGCGTGTTGGTACTGGGCCCGGGACCTGTGCGAGCCTTTTCCCGAAGACAACAAAATGAACAAGAAATTCAAATCTCAGCTTTCCGTTTGGTCCAATTGACTCAATAGTGCCCCAATTCAGGACTGTAATGCCCTCCTCGCAAGTGGGCAAGGAGAGCCACAGTCAGCTGTTTATTGAATGGGACAAACAGCCAAACACAAATATATACTCGTCAACACACAAATATTGTGGCACATTGAGTAATTACACTTTATGAAACCAACTTATTTCTTTTTTTTTTTTTTTTTTTTTTGCGTTTTTATACAATAAAGTACTATTTTTCTCATGAGTAACTCAACAAAAAATGGTTTTGGGCGGAGCTGGAACGGATTAATGGCATCTTAATTCATTTATTCAACAGTGAAAATTTGGTGTGCGCTCGGTCACGGAACGAATCAAACTAAGTCAAGGTACCACTGTATCCATTTTGTATTCCTTTTTTTTTTTTTAATTCATAATTCGTTTTTAATGTTATATATTTTTGTGTTAGTGCACACTGCGCCCGAAGCATTCTCAGAGTTTCACTTGCACAAAAAAAAAAAAGTATTGAAAAAATAAAATTAAATAAAAAAAGCAGGTCACCTTTAACCTGCGGTGGCGCACGATCTGCATCACCGGAAGTGGTGAGCGGTCAGCATTCTGCAATTGCAGCTTGCAATCAGAACTGTTGCGACATATCTTTTTTATTATTATTCTCTTTTCAAGTTTGTTTCCTGTACTATTCACCGATGGCACTGGCAACGAATGGTAATCTCGAGCGCCAGGAGAAGTGTTTTCAAACGGTACACGTACGCACAATGGTTTCTGCACTTCACGCACTGCAAAAACTGCATCCTATGCCTCCGCGGCAGGTCTCTACTAAGATAGGCAGTGATTTCCTTTTCGCAAACTCACAAAAGATTATATCTACTTTATTTTTCTGTTTCGTTCATGTTCGGAGCCCGTTATGGCTGTTGCTCATCATGGCATGCGTGTGTGGGTGCATGAACGTGCGATGGGCCAAGGTTTGTTCCTTGAAAAGTAGGTCTTCGGTCAAAAAAGTTTGGCCACCACTAAAATAAAAAACTGTGTTTGCATACATTCAAATGGATGTAATAATAAATAAAACGCTTTAAAAATAAATGTATCCTCTTCCCCTTTCTGCGTCAACGGTGCGCCGAGGCAAAGTTCACCGCAGGACCCCGACTCTGTTTGCTCGCCCCGTCGGAAAAGTCGTCCCGCCTCGTAAAACAGCCTCCGCCCGGGCGCTTAACCGTTGTTGAATTAGCGATAAAAAGGCCAGCTGTAAAGCAGCACAGACAGCGTCATACTCGGAAGACCACGTGTTGTGTAACGTGATCGTGTTGAGATGCTGCGACGGTCTTTACGATAACCACGTTTTGTATGTCTGTCTCTTTCCGCTTTTCTCGACTGTTTCAAACCGTTCGAAGTTCGAAATGTGGAGCTCAATCAGGACATCTATGAGACCAACCATTCCCCAAATGTCACATTTTTACAATATAACTCCCAAATGAATGTAGACTTTATACATCAGGGTTGCCCATCACGTCGATCGCGATCGACAAGTAGATCGCAGACTGGTCCCAAGTCGATCGTGAGGGGTGTTGAGGGAAAAAAAAAAAAAACAAACACTTTAAAACGGTACGTGTGCGCTACGATAGTTAACAGGCTGCAAACGTGCGTCGCATGCCTCCGTGTCAGGCTGTTGCACATCATGGCGTGCGTGTGTATGTGCGTGCGCGGTAACTGGTTGATCGAAAAGTCGATCTTCGGTCCAAAAAGTTTGGGCACCCCTGATTTAGTTCCTTCGCTGCCATTGAGGGGTTACACAGTACCTGTATGTATTTGAAAACAGAAATGACACTTTGAATTGTAGATCATAATAGATTGATCACAGAATGGTCTCGAATCAGTTTGCTGCGTTGCTATGGTAACAGTTCTGTTGCACTCCCCACGCAGCAGTTGAATGATTTACACTTTGTGTGTATTCACATAGACAACATGTCTGTTTGAGTGTGTTTCCATGTCTCCCAGCACTGACTTGTTCCTTGACCTGCTTTCCATTACTTATCCTCGTTAGTGAGCTTCTATTGATCCGTCACAATACACAAATGCACATAATTAGCCCCGACGTGAACACACAGCTCTGCTTTTGTGGATGAGTATATGCCCCCCCCCCCCCCCCCCCCCCCCCAGGTGCCAATAAAATGCTCGGTCTCATCAGCTGCAGGAGCTGAGCGACGACTTCGTGCGACGCTGTCACACCGACGCCGAAGCTTTTCTCAGCGATATCGACCGCTCGCTGTCATCGAGTCGCCGAGTATTTCGCCTGCTGGAGAGAAAAAAGCACGTCGCCGAGCCTCGGGAGGACGACTGGCGGCGCATACAGAGTCAGGTCGGGGAGAGGGGAATCATTCTTCTGTTACCTTTTACTGTGATGTGTTCATGTTTGCTCGGGCACCACAGGGACGAACACAGAGGTGATCATTAATTTATCCAAATAATCAGTACACCAACCACATGCCAGTTTTGAAATGCATGATGGGCCTGTCCGCTTTCCACTTTTCCAAAAAATGTCAGTGGCCAGAACTAAACATGCACCTACTGTTTGAATTTTTTGATAATCTAATTAAGGCCCAGCCACTAATTGTTGTTTATACTTGGGATAGGCGAGGGCAAATACCGGCCTCATTTTAAGGTGTAGGGTATTGCGGAGGATGCCGATACCAGCCGCCAATAGTTAACTCATTCACTCCCAAAGACGTTTTGAAACGTCTTTTCAGACTTGGTCCAGAATTGGCTGGTACTGAATGAGTTAAGGGGGGGAAAAGAAATCCGCTAATCGGAGAGTTAACCCATATTTTCATGGGTGACCAGGTGACCCAGCGGGGGGCCGGCGACTGCCCCATCTGCCTGACGGCGCTGTGCGACCCGGGAGCGACGCCTGGCTCCTCTGGCTTCAAGCTCCATCAACGAGGAAGACGCTCGGTGCTCCTGTCCTGCTCCCACCTCTTCCATCAGGTCTGCCTGGATGCCTTTGAGGCCTTCGTTGCGGACCGCAGCCCCGCGTGCCCCCTCTGCAGGTCCAGATACCACAAGAAGCTCATCTGAAGCAGGTAGAGACCCCTTTTGGATCATCGCAGTTAGTAAAAGCAGGATAGAATGGATGTCATATCATTAGCCTTTCCTAACTAAGTGGAACATACTCAAAATCAGAAACCTTCCTAGTCATCAAAAACTTGATCTAATAGTATCGGAGTATTAGTATCAGTGAATTTTACAAGTCTGAGTACATCCTGAATTCTATTATGTGTCGTCTGGAGCAATACTGTCTGTGAGTCCGTATTTTTGTCAATTGGTACTTGTCCAATATCAAACTATTCCTGAGAATACAAATGACAATCATGGGGATATTCTTCAACTTTTATTTGCAAACACACAGACATTAAAAAGAAAAAAAAATCAACAAACATATATAGCCGACTGACAAATTGATTCAAAAAATACATTCACAAAACGTGGGGAGAAAAAAAATGCTCACACGTGGACTGCGCTGCATCACTTTAAAGGTATGCCCACACACCCACACAGCATGGAGATGAATAGAAAACCCAAATCGGACTGCGATGTTTTACGAGAGGTGCTATGGCCTGCTCATCTGAACAAGACCTGCACCGACATCCCTGACAGGTGTCTCATTGTCCACTTTGCAGAAACATTTTTTGAGCTGTGCTGTTTTTTTTTTTCCCCCGTGCAGTTTTCAAACGGCACAACTCTACTTGACGATCAAAAGTACTTCTCTAAACAACTCGAAAACCAGGTCTTTGGTCCTGCTCTGCTTTTCACATCCAATTAGAGCTGCATATTCAACAAAGTAGTCCCTGCCTCAATCAAACAAAATGCATATATACCCCCCCCCTCCAAAAAAAAAAAAAATCTTTCTTGACATCATGAGTCGCCATGGCAACACATCCGCAGTATATGACACCGTAATCGGTCACCAGCTTTTACAGGCCTCCCGGCTGGCGACCGTTTCTATGACAACATTGACGGCCCCAAAGCCCCCCCCCCCCCAAAAAAAAACAGGGGGGGGTCGTAGGTACGTCGCTGGCTTCTGACTAACCTGGCTAGGATCACAGTGGAACTGTCTAGAGAGCAACTAAAAAAAAAAAAACAAAAAGACGCAACAGGACCTTTCACGTTAAGCCAGCGACAGGCTCCTCGTTTAAGGCATTTACGGTGCTTCTGCGGACCGAGGCTGACCATGAATGCGCCGATGTTGCGGCTTGAATCCAAGCTCTTCGTTGTTTTCGTTTGTTTGTGCATTTGATTGTTTGCATGGGGAAAATATGTACAGGTTACTTGGTGTGCACTCGCCATGTTTACTTCCAAATAATGTAGAAAGAGCTATAAAACATATGTACAAGTGAATACAGATTAAATAATCAAAAAAATAAGAATCTACAGTGCCCTTATTTGGGGGGAGGGTGGGGTGGAATCAAAATATCAACTGGCTTGAACTCAAATACAGAGCGCTGAAATTTTTTGATCGAATGACATCATCAGGCTCAATAACAGCAAGATGCTAAAATCCAACACGCCCTTTCTACGACAATGGACTGGCCATTCCAAATTTTCCATTACATATTTTTTGGTATCTGCCATAGTTTTGAGGTAATGCATGAAATTACCTGCAGATTTGTCGCTAGAAGTTTGTCTATAAAGATCTATAGAGATCTATTGAGATGAACGAGATCCTCGTCCCTCATTGTTGTAACTCGGGTGGCAAATAGTTGGAATATTTCAGCACAAAGGGTTTCTGGTAAATTTCCATAGGAATTTAAAATGGGGGGAATAATCCGAATTGGAAACCTTTCATGACAATTGATGGGAATTTATTGGAAAAGTATTATGATAAATTCACAATTGGCTGGCAACCAGTTCCGGGATAGGCTCCAGCACGCCCGCGACCCCCATGAGGAGAAGCGGATTAGAAAGTGGAAGGATGGATATTATCATAAATCCAGACATTTTGTTAAATATATAGCTCTCCTTGCCCACATGCAAGGACATTGCAGTATCTTAACTGCTCCGTTTTCACTTCACCCGAATAGAGGCGTATTGTTGTTTTCATTGAGTGTGCAAAAATAATTTTTGATTGCCGATTTAAATTCAAGCCTATTTTTTTTTCCCCCCATTCTTGGTTTGTTCCTATGGAAGGTTTCCAACAACCCTAGTTTGTGACTGATGCGTTCATGTGGCCTGGTTTTTGTGTCCAGAAAGGGATAATCCCAAACGGATGTGTAGTAAGTATCAGTGCAGTGGCATAGTTCGAATCGCGTTCTTTCGTTTACATATCTTCTCAAAGAAACAAACGACAAACCCACTGAACAGTCTGATATTTATAATAGAGAACGGTAACACAAGAAACTGAATAGTAACGGTTGACATGCTAACTTATTATTATTAACGTGTTGATTTTTTTGTTACCAAAGCTTCTTTCCCACCAAGGGTTCAGTTTGGTACATCTGACATTTTGTTGTTATGGGTTATGGTTTTTTTTTTTTTTCCTTTTGGTACCACCTCATTAGGATTGACCTGATCCAAACATGTCCAAAGAGGACTTGAGGATATGAAATGGGGGGGTCAAATCGACTCCTCAGTCTCTTTCTGGCTGGGTCCCAACTCCCATCCGAGTCGCAAGGGGACGGAATGTCACGAAGCGAAATGGCCCTCAGCTTCCATTTGCGGTATCTACCGATGGGGGCTTCATTAAGTTGCCCGCCGATCCCTTTCACCTTTCAGCAGTCGGCGGGGTGGACGCTGCTGTGGAAATCTTTTCCCTGTCGATCCTTTCACAGAGTTTTCTGATGCCCATTGGCCGAGAGCTTTCCAGATTCGGGGTCCGTGGGGCTGTGTGACAGTTGCAATTTATCCAGACCTGGGCGGGGTGGGGGCGAGAAAAGGAAGAGACAATTTCTTAGGTAAAGCACGTTCCTGTGCCTCTGACGGAATTTTTCAAAGCCCGAGAGTTCAAATTTGACCCCTTTTGATATACGACAGCATTAAAATGACCCCCCGAAATGCCATTGCTGCCTGTAACCTTTTTACCTAAAGCCTTTAGGAGTTCCTCCCGCACTGCCGAGGTGAACTTCCTCACCAAACACAGCGTGGTCACCACCGCAAACAACAAATTGTACGACAGGACGATGTAGAAGTTCCCCAGCCAGTTGAATCTCCCGAAGTCTCCCAGAAGATCGAACCTGGTGATGCCTGGCGAAATGACAAACGAGCCGACAAAAAAAGGCAGAGTCAGTGTACGTCATCCAGATGAGTGGGAATCCTGGGACATAATTAACAGCCTCTGCGGTGGTTCGGAAATGGGCGAGTCAGGGGAGTGACTAAGCACTGCAGTCATGCAAGGAGGACTCATCACTCCACAAGGAACTCCTTCAGCGAATGAAGATGTGCTCCGTTCTGTTCAAATTTGGCATTCCGAAGCGTCTTGGGTGATCCCTGTGGAAAGTCTAAGCAACTCGGAAAGATGGACTTTACACTCCACGCAAAACTCGATTTGCCCTTGTCTAAACTTTCGAGCGCGCACGTCCAACTGTTCGTATTTCCCAACTTTCAGCACCCCTTACTGTTCTTTAAAAAAAAAAAAAAAAAAGGAAGCCGGACAGAAAAATTCACAACAGGCGTTTGATGGCCCGATGAGATGTCAAGGACACACGTTCAGAAATATCTTTATTGAGCATAAGTTGTCCAACAATGTTTCCTGTTGCAGAAATCAGACTGAGGGAGTCCTGTGACATCTCCCGAGCCCCCCTGGTCAAAATGGATTCGCTGATCGATTCGGTGTCTGCCGAGATTTATTTACAGCCACAGTAAGCACTTGTGGAAGCATCGCGGACCTTTAACCAATTTGCCTGCGAGGAGACAGCGGGCAGTGGATGATAGGGACGACCCCAGTCGATCGAGCTTACCGCCGCGGTCTGCGGTTGACTCTCTGATTCTTTTATCGTTACCTGCAATTGATTTGCGCTTGGTTTGACTAATATGTGAAAATGTAATTGTGGGATAAAAGATTTTTTAGAATGGGGAGGCATTGATCCGCCACGGAGTCATGCAAGGTTTGAGAGCCACTGCGTCACGTCACGACAAGCGGAATCACCAAGACAAATCTTAATACGCCAGCCGTCAAGAGTGCGGACCTCCGCCAAGGCTGGATAGTAAAAGACAAATTTTGGCTCCCGTCTGTCAAAGTCAGCGCTGTGCGAAAGGTAGGGAACCGGGAATAACAGAGTCATTTCCTGGCTTTCGAGGTAGTATCAGAGGCGGAACGACGGCTGTGTGAAAGCGAACCGTGGAAAGCTCGGACCAGGATGTGAAGTTTAACACCAAAGAGACTCAACTTCTCCCACGTGGTCGAGTGTTTTGTTTTTTTTTTTTTTTTTTTTTTTTTTTTTGTTTTTGTTTTTGTTTTTTGGGGGGCGCCTGCTTGTGATTTAAGGTGACCAAGCCAACAATACAGAGTTTTGTCCTACCCCGTGTTGAAAGAAATGTTATTCTGATCGCAAATTTTTGAAATTTCCCCAAAATAGCATCTAGCGCAGTGGTTCTCCTTAACCTGGGTTGGATCGAACCCCAGGGGTTCGGCAAATCGGTCTCAGGGGTTCGACGAAGCCTCGGCCATGGAAGTTAATACACACCCGACTCAACATGTCAATTAGTTATGACACGCCTGCTTGGCCATCACTGGCTGCAGATGATCACATGATATTTGCTTGTCCAATCAGTGCTATGGGAAATTTAGTTCACTCAGTAGTCACCGTGTGACTGTCGTGATAGTTAGTACGTCATACACTTTTTTAAAAAAAGTATACTTATCCCTTGAAATGCAACTAACTTTTTTCTGTTTTTAATTAAAAAAAAAAATTATGTCTTGAATTTGTAAAAAAATCACAAATTTTGAAGGGTTCGGTGAACGTGCGTATGAAATGGTTGGGCTCGGTATCTCTAACAAGGTTAAGAACCACTGATCCAGTGCAAAGAAAAAAAAATCGGTCGTCAGTTCTAAAATGACATCGCTAACTACTTGCATGGCGCGCTTTGTTCTCGTGTTTCCCATCATTGCAGGCCTTTGTGAACGGAGATAGTTTGGACGACGTGGTTGTTTGCATGTTCTATGAATCCATTTTTTTGCTTCATATACAGCACTTTGTATGCGGTGGTGGTTGTTTTAAAGTGCTCCATGAGTACGGTTGAGTATGACCAACCATTGGTGCACCGGTGAAGCAGACAGAACCAAGTGCGAATGACTTTCGTCATACCACAGTCAGCGCCACACACATAGTCTTTTTTTTTATAACTATTCAACTCAATCTCAGGCAACTGACTCCTTTTTATCTATTCAGTGCCACAAAGCGGAACCTGTTGATATTTTGTCAAGCTTCCAAGTGAGTCACTGTATGTGCTCGCTCTCTCTCTCTCTCTCTCTCATATACACATGCTATTTGAACAGCTGTGGTTTGCGCTCTGCATGTTTATTAGTGTCATTGTCATGTGACAGTCGCGATCGTCTCTTTTTTTTTTTTTTTTTAAGCCTCAATTCCAACCTTCCTTTCGTTTCTAACATCATTATGGGAAGCATTGGGATAATTTAACTGTCACTTGAGGTAGGCGAAACTCCGCCTTTACTGCTAGCGTCATGGCAGATACCAGCCGGTACTCACCTAATGTTCTGGACATCACTGGTAGGGCTGAACTCAGCACCAGGATGGACACACAGCATCCAATAATCTACAAAAAAGGAAGGACGAGAGAGCCATCAAATGAGCGCCACTCCATTTTGTCGTAATTGCATCAAGATGACTTGACGACTAATTCCACATATTAGGCGCTCCATTTTGACAACTCCGTTTGCATGGCCATCAGTCGTGAGAGAAAACTAAAGAGAAGTGGAGGAAGAAAAGAAGAAGTGGCACTAATTGACGTGGCCACACACATGCAACACGGCACTTGATGTTAAATGGGCTCCGACATATTGTACAGTTGGCGCCTGTGAAGTTGCTCATTACCAGGTTCTCTGTGTATTATTGTCCTTTCACCGGAGCCTCGCGGCTAGTTAACAAGCCTCGCCACTCCCAAACTCATTACCAAGTGAATAGGTGCCACTATGGGCCAAAAAGAACTCGCATCCTTCCTTCCCCCTTTCCTCTGGAGGACAAAAACAAAGAAAAGAAAAAAAACTCCAGCCCTCTGATGTACAAGAAAAGAGCTTGCACTTTGCCAATGTTTGCGCACCCCACAAACAAATATTGGAGCGATCGACGAAAGCCATTGAGAAACCCGGGAGGGGAAAACATTAGTGAGCGGTAGGACGTTGAGGAAATAGATGAAAACCCAGAGGTGGGGGTCTTCAAGAACATTCTCAGCACCCTTGCCCCCACTTCACCCTGACCACCCAACCCTCGTCCTTGTGCACGTCGCCTTTACCGTTGTCATGGTTGTATCATCCTTCCTGGGTGTGAGACCCTCAAAGAGGCGCAGGCTGTAGAAGCCAACCACGGAGGAAGCCATCAAATAACTGTGCGGCAAACCAGTCAAGGAGCGAAGAATAGTTAGAGGGGGGGTGGCCTCGGTTTATAACGGAATTCCGTTCCAAGGGCGGCGACATCAATCCGAATTTGTACCTCTAAAATTGCGAACACGTCCATTATGATTGACAGCAGGGATCGATGTGGACGACTAAAAAATAATAATAATAAAATCTCAGCCAGCAGTGCAGCTTAATTGACTTTTGTAGCCATTCAGAGTCTTCACAAAAAAAAAAAAGAGAGAGGGATGTGGCGGTCACTGAAAGGATACAACATGAGGATGATCTCCAACACGGCCTGGACCACGCCAAAGGTGGACAGAGAGGTGTTCCCGATGCCTCCTCGGTCCTGGAAAAGTGGAAAAACCGCATTATTCAATGTCGTCACGCATTACCAGTTCAAATTATTACCTGTTGTTTGTTAGTACGTTTGTCAAATCTCTGAAAAAATACAAATAAAATCCGCTCGATTGCAAGTTGTTATTCAGTGGCAGTTTTTTTTTTAGTTCGCACGATAATGGGGAAACTTTCTCGATTTTTACCTTGGTTGGCAATTTTTCTTTGTCGCCTATTCATTCGTTAGCATGATAAATGAAAAAGAAGTTATTTTGCTGGTGCCTTTTGTTTGCTTTTTTTTTGGGGGGGGGGGTTAAATAATGCAAAAATGCCCAATTGTTACCTCAACCAAGGAAGTTATGTTTTCGTCGCCTGTTTGTTAGATTGCTGCATCGCGTAAAAAGTCAACAGTGTTACCTCAGCACTTGGATTATGCTATTTTTTTCACTGCTAATTTGTTAGCTAGAGCCATTGTTGCATTTTATTAGTTGGCAAAAAAAAAATTGGGATTTTTACCTCTGTCGATAGTTATATTTTTATTTCTATTTGTTATCCGGATAAAACGGATTTTCACCTCAGTCTTGGAAGTTACGTATTTGTCCTGTTTTTTTTTTTTTTTTTAATGAGCCCAATCACAGTCAAACCTCACATTTTTGCCTCATAGTGGAATGTATTTGTAGCAAGATCATGCAAAAATAGATTTTTACTTGCACACGCGCAATTAGACGGGATTGACGCTGCAAATGGCACAATTTGATTTTTTTTTTTTTTTTTTTGCATGCAAATGGTGAATTCAGACATGACCGACTGAAAACGCCCGCGCAAACAGACAGTTGGCGAATAGGCATTCAATGGGAATTGGCCACTTGAGAGCTCCAGTGTAAATCCAGCGAGACAGAAAGATGGTGCAAAGTAATTTGCGCTGCAAAGAATTTCCCCACTTGAGCGCCGAGCCAATCCAAATCATGAATGGAAGTAAGATGAAAGGGGCTCCTTTTCAAATCCCTGCCCATCGTACAATATGTGAACAGGTGTTCAAACATCCCCCCCCCCACCCACCCAAAAAAAAAATGTTTTCGTTGAAGTGAGACGTCAGACTGTGGCCGTGCCAAACATAAAAACAACGCAACAAATAACACACATCTCGCCCTGAATATCACTGCTGCCATACCGCCCCAAGACTTTTTGAAAGTGAAGCGGGGGGGGGGAAGAAAGAAAAAAAAAAAAGACATCCATCGACATGCTCCGCACATTGCTCTAGTCACTCGCTAAATATTTGCTCTTCCAACACTTGGCTCCTCCACCATTTGCTCTTTGGGAGGAACGACTGTATTGTGCAGACGCGGCCGTCAATGGCTCACTTTTCTTTTCACGCTTGGCTGAGATCCACAAACTTTTTTGGGGGGTGGTAGCAAGATCATGGCAAATCATCACGTTGCAGGATCATGCTGATTTTTTTTTTTTACGTCAGTCACTGAAGTACCCTTTTCATTCCGTGATGTAAATTTGTTTGCTCGCTCGGACGTTTATTACGGTAATGCTGGTTACGTTTTCATTTACAGTTGGTTTGGTAGTTCGCGGAATCCCGCAAAAAACTGAAGAGTTTTACTCTGGGTCTCGGGGAAGTTTGGTTTTTGTCCAGTTGCTTTCTTCTGTTGCTCGCTCGCTCAATAATTTCAGATTTTTACCTCAGTCAAGGCAATTTTAGGCAAAAACTGCAGCTTTGTGCAACACGAAAGGAGTTTTGCTGGCGTCAGGCCGAAACATCCGAGGTCCAAATTTGGTCAATTTAATTTTTTTTTTCTTTTACAAATCAATCCCCATTGGTCAGTCCCCATGGGAGTATGTTACCGTATTTCCACACTAAAAGGCGCATTGGATTATGAGGCGCACCTTCAATGAATGGCCTATTTTCTAATTTTTTTTCATACATTGGCCGCACCGCATTATAAGACGCAATCTACAAGGAAACGCCAACAGAACGATCAGATGTCAGTAAAACTTCTTTCATAAAGCAGCGACACAGTTCACTGAACCAACAGCAAGTTATAACATTTAGTCGTTAACGGTGAACTCTTTTGCCGCCTTAAGTTTGAACTCTGCGTTGTCGGCATGTCTCGAGCAAGGAGCCATTTTGGGGCCGAAATATTACCATAATGACCATACACAAGGCGCATCGGATTTTAAGACGCGCTATGAGCTTGTAAGAAAATGGAAGGCTTTTAGGTGCACCTTTTAGTGCGGAAAATACGGTGTTTTTTTTTATTTTCAAACAAATAATTGAGGATCTTATAGTTGCCTGAAAAGAGATGGTTTTGGAGGTGCGAGTTTCTGCCCGACACCAGTCGTTATGTTTTTATTGTCTAGTTATCAGTTAGCCAGGCGGCCAAAAACGTCAGATTCTTCCCTCGTCATGAGCAGAATCATGTGAAAACGATTTCAACTTATTTTCGGGAAAGTTTGTGCAGTGATCCATCCAATTTTGTTACAATTATGATTACACTGTGATATATGTGCAAATCGAGCAGTTTACGTTAGTTGGCAATTTTTCAGCATTTTGGCATTTATATTCATAAAAAAATAGTTCAACACAAAAACACACTTTTCTGAGCAAAAGATATTCACGTGTTTTGATGGCAGATGAAGCATGAGTTCGTCTTATTCTAAAATGTGTAAAATGTTTAGCCCACATCACACCGTACCAGATCGTTGTCTTAATGAAAGAATTGTGAGCTGTGTCCTTTGCAACTTCTCATCCCACCTCTCAGCATAATGCAGTCCAGCGTTCGGGAGTACACGCGCCAAAATATACATGATGTAGAATTATAACCTTTCTGACGGCGTCCATAAAACCTGCCAAATGACAGCTTTCATAAAAGTTGAGCTAATGGCAGGGCAAAGAAACTCCCCAAGTTTGGCTTCAGAGAATATGGTCCAAGTTTTAGATTATTCTTTCTAATTATGTTTTATATCTTTCCGAGCCACCTTGAGTATCATTATCTTGATTTGTTTGGTGAAGGAGCCAGAAGTGAGGAGGAGGTGGGTGGGGATGGGGGGG